GGGGGGGGTCGTACAGGCTCGACCAAAATCCCCATCGAATGCTGTGCCCTGCGATGAGGAGGGACAGAGGCCGGAGGGGGTCGTACCACCACCACCCCCCGCCCAAAAAAAGGGGGGGGTCGTACGGACTCGACTAAAATCCCCAACCAATGATGTGCCTTGGTTTGCTGCTTACCACTCCTGCGAAGTACGGCGTGAGAGGGTCAAATCTCGCATCGAGATTTTTGCAAGAGCTCACCCTTTTGGACATCCCGACCACGCAAATTAGTTTCTTTTGCATGATATGGCCTCCATTTCCACTGCTATTCCATAACTCATTCTTGTGTATACTCACAGGACGCGTTTCGGAGGTGTTTGCCGGGGGGGGGGATATTTTGCTAGCGTGCTCACTTCTCCTGCTTCCTCAGTTCGGTTCGGTCTTGTGGGGCTGCGAAATAGTATAAGTTCCATGACTTATCGCTGTGTTGGATTCCCAAAACTTTACGGGTGTCCACGATGGAAACTACGATCCTACGAGGCGCGCTTTTACCCGCGTGGCGCACAGTGTAGTTCAATACTATAGTGAAAGTCAGTAAAGGTTCCCCTAGGGCAACAAACAGTCTGATTTGGTTCGCTCTTTGACCTTGCTATTGACAAATACAGGCTATAAGTGGGACACAGTAACCCCGGAGGGGCTCTTCTCGTGCGAAACTATTAGATGCCCCCAGGTAAGAACCCTTCTCTAAGCCTGAAAGGAGCAAGTGCTCCGGGTCGGTGAACTCATTTTGAAAACATTCTACACGGGTGACGGCAATCACATTTTTGCACCAGAGTGCTACATTATCATCAAAGGCAGGGATAGCCGATTGATTAAAAGTGTAGACTCATAATCTCACTCTGAGCCACGACTTCGATCCCTGCCGAGGCACAAACCATGCCCTGCAAAAATTGCAAAAATGGGGACGATACCAGCGTCAGGCCCAGGTTGACAGGCCGGCTGATGGAGGAACCCGTCACAACCATCATGACAAGTCGCAAAAGTATCAGTGTTAAAAGCTAGGACGTCACCCGGAAGTGGCGCGCAGAACCCTCGCCCGAGTTCTGTGGTCAGTATGCGAGGGCTACCGAGGGGTGAACGACCTCGGCCAAAGAAGCTAGTTCGAATTGGGACCCTGAACGTGGGGTCGCTTACCGGAAAGTCTCGTGAGGTTGCCGACCTCATGAGACGCAGGAATATCCAAGTCCTATGCCTGCAGGAAACGCAATGGGGGTGCGAAGGCCCGCGAGATCGGAGAAGGTGTCAAACTACAATGGAGCAGACACCAAACGGAATGGCGTGGCCATAGCGGTGGCAGAATCCCTCAAGGACTGCGTCTCCACTGTGAACAGGATCAGTGACCGGATCATGGGAGTGAGAATGGACGGGTACTTGACAGTACTGACCGTGTACGCACCACAATCCGGTTGCTCCGAGGCGGAAAAAGGATGAGTTCTACCTGACCCTGGACGAGGCCACAAGATCGGTTCCGGAAGAGGACTACCTCACCATAGCTGGGGATCTGAATGGGCATGTTGGGAGGGACAGGAAGGGCCGTCAAAAGGCATGTGCGCGGGAGCGTCAAGCGAATAGGAACAAAGAACGCTGAGCGGAGACACGGACCTGGACCTAGCCATTAGCCCACGGACTTTAGCAATCATGCCCAGACCTTCTCCTTTCGCGAAAAGGGGACCCAAAAGGTAACCTACAGCAGTGGAGGGAGACAAACGGAAATCGACCATGTCCTGGTCAGAAGATCGTCTCTCAAAACCGTCAAGGATATCAAGGTACTGCCTGGGGAAGAGCTGGGCCCTCAGCACAGGCCTCTCTTGGCAGACATAGCCATAGACCTCTTCAAAAAGACGATGGGTATCAGAGGAGACAAGGCAGCCTGGTTCTGGAACGAGGAAGTCCAGGGGATCGTCAAGCAGAAGAAGGAAGCATATAAACGCTGGCAAAAGACACGGAGCCCAGAAGACTCTTCACTGCCTACAAGAGCTGCAAGCGACTCGCTAAGGCAGCCGTTGCTAAGGCCAAGAATACGGAAATGGACGCCCTGTACGACAAGCTGGAAGGCCGAGAAGGGGACAAGTTCGTCTTCCGCCTGGCTAAAGCTCGGCATCGCGCTGCTCAGGACATCAGGGTCGTAAAGACTGTGAAGAGCAGCAACGGGAGCCATTCTCAGGAAACCAGCCGAAGTCAGGAAGAGGTGGGAAGAATACTTCGAGGGACTTCTGAACGAAGAATTCCTCCGCAAGGATAGACTACAGGTAGAGGCGACGGCAGGCCCCATCGTTCCCTGGACGCAGGATGAAGTCCGCCGAGAGCTCGGGAGAATGAAAGTTGGGAAAGCAGTGGGTCCAGACGGGGTAACGACAGAGGTATGGAAGGCGCTTGGAGAGCATGGAGTGAGTGGCTCACACACAGCTTCCTAACACCGTATCAGCCTGAAGGAAGGATGCCGTATGGCTGGGAGGAGCAGCGCAATCAGCTTCCCATCTTTCAAACAGAAAGAGGACGCGACGGAGTGCTGCAACTACCGCGGAATCACGTTGACTCTGTATACCATGAAGCTGTACGAGCGCCTGGTCAACACTAGGCTGAGGGAACTTGTCCCTATCTCGCAGGAACAGTTCGGCTTCATGCCCGAGAGGTCCACCACCGATGCCATCTTCATCGCCAGACAGCTGATGGAGAAGTACCGAGAGAAGCGGCGACCCTGCTACCTAGCCTTCCTGGACCTTGAGAAGGCATTCGACCGCCTGCCTAGGCCTGTACTCTGGAGAGCGCTCAGAGAACGTAACGTTCCGGAACACCTCATCTCCATAGTGAAGGACATGTACGATGGGGCTAAAGCAGCTGTACGCACCCCTCACGGCTTGACAAAGGAGGTAAACATTACGGTTGGGGTACACCAAGGATCAGCCCTCAGCCCGTTCCTCTTCCTCCTGACTCTGGATGTCATGGCAAAAGAACTCATGGAGGGGCCACTGAAAACCATCCTCTACGCTGACGACATCGCCCTGATAGCGGACAGCAGGGAGAACTCCAGGACAAGGTGCAGCGGTGGCAGGATGTGCTCGCTGAGAATGGACTCCGGCTGAACGTGAAGAAGACCAAGTTCCTAAGCTCCGAAGAGTGTACCGAACCCATCGTAGACCGCCATGGCGAGAGCATCGAAAGGGTCGAGGATTTCCAGTACCTGGGGAGCAACCTAGCAGCTGATGGCAGCGTGGACCAGGCGGTGAAGGCCCGAATCAACGCAGCCTGGATGAAATGGAGGGAGTCCACTGGCATCCTGTGCGACCGCGGTGCTCGAGAACGCTCAAGGGCAAGGTGTACCGGGCGGTGGTAAGGCCTACAATGCTCTACGGCAGTGAGTGCTGGCCCATCTGCAAGAACCATGAAAGGCAGCTCCACTCAGCTGAAATGAGGATGCTGAGATGGGCCTGCGGCTGGACACGACTCGACAGAGTCAGAAACGAGGACGTCAGGAGCGGTCACACAGACGGCTCCGATCCAGCTGAAGGCACGAGAGCAGCGACTGCGATGGTATGGGCACGTACTGAGGAGGCCTGAAGACCACCCAATAAGGAAGGCATTGGAATTCGAGTAGAGGGCAAGCGACCACGAGGAGCCCCAAAGAAAAGATGGAGGGACGTCATCAAGAAGGACCTCACTGAAGTGAAAGCCACAGCAGAACAGTGGATCGGAACAAGTGGCGACGTCTAATAAGAACAGCGGACCCTGCGACGGCGCGGGACTAACGCTATGGAGAAGAAGGAGTGCTACATTATTATCCCTCTCACCGGAAGCTTAATAGCGCTGAAAACCGCAACACACGGTATCATGAAGTCCGAGCAGCAGTACATACTTGACGAATAAAACTGGATGAGGGGGAATGCTATTGAGCTGTGTTCAGCGCGTAAACTCCCTCAACTCTTCGCAGATAACGGCACAATGCAGTCAGCTTCCAGATTTCTTTCAAAGCCACATACGACCCTTCCCCATCCCAACAACGACCGAATACGGCCCACCGTTCCTCAGGCGAAAAGTACGGTTCAAAATACAGTATACATGCATGACCTACTGTTCACCCTATAAAGTCTTCTAATGTCAAAAATAACACTCACAGCAGCACGCTCGTGTTCCTCCTTGCGTGCTTTGGCCTCCTGCTCGAGTTTCTCCTCATAGGTCTTTTTCTCCTCGCACAAGATCAGACCTTTGCTTTCCAGTTCCCTAATCATCGTCTCCCCCACAAGAGTGTTCTTGAAAGATCTGGAAATAGATGGACATTACGGCCTTCACGCAGGACTTGCGAATGCTGAAAAATTGTCGAAGCATACATTTTCGTCGCATTTCTTAGCGCTTTCAGCCATTCCTCTTGGGTTTTGAAGTCTGGAGCCGCCACGATTATTGCTGATGGGAACTGTGGGTGGGCGATGAGTAGGCAGTGCTTCTTCCCGACATCACCACCACACACTATCGAGCAGCCAATTAGAGGGATTATACCCTGAAACGAAGAACTATTGGCTGCTTTTGGGAACATAATTTGTTAGGGTAAAGGGTACTTGTACGAAAACATTTCTCGATTTTATGCACGAATTCGACACCTATTTTCAAAGAACATTCTAGTGCGTTCATATGAATGGAGTCTAAAACCACAATCTCACTAGGACGCCATTCCTGTTCACTACCATGCAACAAGGTAGTATCCGTAAGGAAGCTATAGTAGCCCTTTCCCCGCCTATCCGTTTATCGCAGAATGTTTACCCTTAGTCTAAAGTGTAGAAACCGCTTCACATTTATGAAAACAATCGAAATTCTCCAACTCTCTCACTGTACGGTTCTCTACAAAATCCATTCTGGTTCGGCTCACTTTTGGATGCAAGTCGATTCTCTTGTTCTTTTGGAACGTTTTCTTGAAGCGAGTCGAGTAGTAGATCAAGAAACATTCTTTGAGCAGGAAGAACCTGAAGTAGTTTCACTCTCACATTGAAGAAACAGTTTTTTCCAGAAAGAAGGAAGCACCAGTCATTGAAGCATACTGGTAGAGCTCACCCCGCCCAAAGGTAAGCGTAGATTGTGCCTCTAAATGGGTCATGGTCTTATGGAGATTCACCTTTTCGACCACGTAGCTGGTCGATTCTTCTTTTTGTACTTTTTCCAAAGAGTACCGTAGCATTGCACGCCAATTATTGGTCCCAACTCCTCACTTGTCGTTTCTTCGGGAGTCATGTCATATGGGTTATCCTTTCTCCTGCCAAGGTTAGAAAACTGAAAGAAAAAAGTTTGTGAAAGTGAAAATGAAAACACCCGCTGAAGAAGTCGCAATGCCTCTCATACGGTTTCCAAGGATCTCTCTATCTATTAGGTTGTTCGAAAAGTAACGCGCCA